TCTTAAGCATTCATCTTTCTCTACCCTCAAATGAATTCCCAATATCTCGTTTCAGTGAACTTACCGACTCCTGCAGGAATGGGGTGTTATTAGATAAATAGGAAGACCTGTTTCCTGGTTTCCCTTCCTATTTTCTCACCTACTGTATCTTGGTTCAGAGAAAATCTGTATAATGTTTTATATTACTACCAAGAGCAACTAGGTTGAGACACAAAGAACTCTTCTGTATCTTCAATGGTGGTGACTGACAAAAGCTGCTAGGCTGAAGAAGGTAGGGAACTGACTTGGGAGTAATAAAACTAAACTGGGATCTGGCAGCTATAAGGGAGAGTTGTGGGATTAATCCTCTCCTGTAATGAATTTCTCTTATACTTAGTGAATGGCTAGCTCACCTTGGATTTCTGCATTATCTCAGGATATTCTTTCATGGTTAGACTTCTGGATTCTTGTAAACCTAGGGCCCATTCTTTTCTTTTTCTGTGCATCTAGATTTCTCTGCTTCTTCATTAAGAATCCTTCCCTCTAATTTTCATGATTCTTTTTTTCCAGGGTGGGAGCCCAACTCCCTTTGACAGGAATTTTGCCACTAAGATGGGAGCTAAGGCTATGAACTGGATGTCTGGGAAAATCAAAGAGAGTTACCGTAATGGTAGGTGGGGTGACAAGGTTAGCCCCTCTGCAGAGGTTGATTACCAAGTTTAGAAGCTGATTAACCTTCCCTTATTTCAGGGCGGATCTTTGCCAATACTCCAGACTCAGGCTGTCTTCTGGGGATGCGTAAAAGGGCTCTGGTCTTTCAACCAGTGGCTGAGCTGAATGACCAGACGGATTTTGAGTGAGTAATCTGCCTTCTAGAGTGGTCTTTTCCCTGCTAGTTTACTCTCCTCAACCCATTCACTTGTCTCCAATGTTTTTCTTTTAGAAATAACACCAGTAGTCTTACCCACCTCAGATTTGATGCCCATGACCTAAATCTAGCCTCTTTTGCCCAACTTCTTCCCATGAGCCTTTGGTAGAAGCCAAATGGGGTCCCTGATCATCTATCTCAATTCTTCTGTAGGCACCGAATCCCCAAGGAACAGTGGTGGCTGAAGTTGAGGCCCATCCTTAAAATCTTAGCCAAGTATGAGATCGACTTAGACACCTCAGACCACGCCCACCTGGAGCACATTTCTCGGAAGCGATCTGGGGAAGCTGCTGTCTAGACTTCTATGAAATGAGGGGAACAGATTATCTGATCATGGTCAGCTGAACCCCTGGTAGATCTAAGTCCACAATTGTTCAGTGTTTTAGCTTTTTTTGCATTAGGTTTCATTTTTTCTGTATTTGTAACCATGATCAGTTCTGGCCAGGAGCTGGGGGAAGAGGGCAGTGAGTGAAATCTCCTTGTAGGTAGAATTTATCATTACTTCTACCCTAGCTTCATCTGTCACACAGGCTGGGTTCCTCTAGTGGTACCTCTAGATTTCAGTTACTCCATTAGAATTTTCCTAAAAATAAGCTTTATTTATTTCTTTGTGATAACAAAGAGTCTTAGTTCCTCTACTACTTTTACTACAGTGACAAACTGTAACTACACTAATAAATGCCAACTGGTCACTGTGCTTTTGGTTCTCCTGTTACTGTCTTCACAAGTGTAATGTGATACTATATCCCTGAGCACCAAACCTGCCCAGAAAGAACCCCTGGGAGAAAACAGCCCAGGTGAACATTGTGTACACATCTGCCTGTTATTTTTCTGTAGCATCTCTTGGCCATGTACACAGTGTCCCACAACACAATATACTGACCCTTAGCATCTTCCCACGCTAGTCCTCTGGCATCCTCAACAGTCAAAAGGATGCTCCCAACTCCCTAAGCATAAAGTTGTATTTCACTTCTTGATCATATACCTCATTACCCAGGGTTTCTTATTTCTAGCCATCCCACAATCTTTTTCCTCTAATGTAGCATTTTTCCCTTCTCAACTTTTCCCTTACACTCCTTCCTGGATGGTGGCCAGATTCCATTTGAAAGAACCTTGTGGGAAAGATATGTACATATTTGGAAGGCTGGAAATAAAGACATTCTCTCCTGGACCTGGTTTGTGGGTTGGTTGGAATACAAGTGCTTTAGAAAGATGTCAGGTATTAGCTGAATTTGTCTCTTCTTCCATAACAATTATTTCTTCCTCCTCATTACTCTGGGCACCTGCCCAGATAATGCGCTTGGTTAGGGATTGGGTCTATAGACAATGCCCCAGGTTAAAAGAGGGTGTCATATTTTCAGTGCCAGCTTAAGATTTCCCTCCAAGTTCCAGATTATGGCTCTCAGCACAGACATGCACGTTCCTCCCAACCCATAGTTTCCTCCTTTGCCTAATGAAGCAGGAAAGACGTTCACAGTATTATAGAGGGTAGAGGGAGGGATTTTCTCTAGTACATCACTTTTGCTGTCTGTAATATTACTGTAATACCCTTAAAGCAGTCCTAAATAGTGACTGAGAAGAGTCATTAAAGCAGCCAAATGCTCTTTGCAATTCTTTAAGAGGAAGAGAAATGAACAACAAATATTAAGCCCTATGATAGGCATTTTACATGTTATCATTGAATCCTAAAAATAGTTTATGAGGAGAGTGGTGACAGCCCACTTTGGAGAGGACACTGGCTCAGGGTGATTAAGTAATGTCTGTTAGACATTACTGGGAGTCAAATGCGGTTGATTTCGAAGCCTCTTGTCATTCCCTGTGCCTCTTCTTCCTCACCATGCTACTCAAATCCAAAAAACCATGAAAGCTATGAAAGTGAAGTGAAAGGGAAAGCTCAAGCATTCATCTAGAGCATTATAAAGCTAACTGCCATTAATTTATAGGTTCTTTTTCTTATCTTCAATCCTAGACCTGCTTCTTTGAGAAAATTATAAAGAGGGGACAGATGGGAATGTGGTAAGCTAATCACAGAAGAAAAGTATCATTTTGTAAAGAGTAAAAAAATTTAGGATCCTAAAATGATCTGAAAACAAAAGTGAAAACCATCTAAAAATGAAAAACAAAAGCTATTTGAATACGTGCCATTTCCTCAGAGTTAAAAAAATAAGCACAATCGTGTTTAGTGGAATGAAAGCAGAATTTATTAGCATCTACCATTTAAGTGATTACAGAGTAACTGAGAAAATGAGTAATATATTTTCCCTTTCTAGAATATCAATGATGTCTATAAAGAGAAATGAACTAGCATATAGAGTGGAGATTCTTAAACCTAGCCTGAATACTAGAATTTAAAAATACTGATGCCCAGGGGCTAAGGATATAGTTCAGTGGTAGACTGCTTACCTAGCAATGTACAGGCCCTGGAATCAATCTTCAGCACAACAAAAAAACTGATGGCCATCCCCATTTCGGACCAATTAAATTAGTCTCTGGGGTACGGAGCCTGGGTCTTAGTATTTTAAAAATACTAGGTGGTGGCTATAATTAACAAGTAGGATTGCATTCCTTTTTATACCTTAGAAGCAGCTGAAGAAACTTAAACCCAGCCCTACCCAAGAAATTTTAAACAATTGCTATGGGGTGGAATCTTGACATCTGTGTTTTTAAAAAGCTTTGGTGATTTAATGTGCTGCTGGTTTTATTTATTTAATTTTGTGGTGCTGAGGATTAAGCCCAGGGCCTTGTGCATGCTAGACAGGCACTCTACCTGAGCTATACCCTGAAGCTGGGGGTTGAGAACAAAAGCAATAGTTCCAAATTTGGGGAGGGGAAGATATAAAGGAAGTGGAAGCTTTTCAATCATCCAGCCCAAGGTCTTCTGTTCACTCCACCCATGCCCAGAATCACTTGCTGATGGGAGAAGATGGATGCAAAGATACACTGAAGACAGAGGCAGTAAAGAATTTTTTATCAACAGGTAAAGAGGGAGTGGAGAAAAGTAGAAACAGTAGAAATTGCCAAACTTGCTTTTAGAAGTATTTATTTATTCTTTTTGTAATGGCAAAGAACATGAACAGCAAAAGGACAAAAGACATACTTTTTCACACTAGCTGTGAGAAAGATCCCGTTTATTTTTGTTTGTAGTTCCCAACCAACTTTTTAAAAAAAATGATTTTTCAAATTTGCACACAGGTCATTGAAGATCAATTTCACCTTAATCTAGTTTAGGAACACGTAAAGGAAGAGTACTGTCACTAAGTATTGTTTGCTGAATTGGATCTTTGTTGGGTAGGTGGGCCATCTCAAAAGCTCTTATATGCTCTTACCCCATTACCTTCCCAACTCCACCACCCAACCACTGCCTTTTATAGATCTGTAAAAAGCAAAGATTCCAAGACAGTGGAAAGAAAAACTCCAAAATTCTTAGAGCAAGCTTTCCATAGGGAATAGAGAAGACTCATGGAAAAAAGCAGTTCATCCCATCTTCCCCCACTAGAACAAACAACTTTGTCTAAGGTTCAGAAAATGCCTGCTAAGCCCATTAGAGCAAACTTGGTTTCAGGAAGAGAAAGCCACATTAGAATGGTTCAGGACTTTAGGAATTCTTAGGACAGTTTAGAACCTGCTCTGTCTTCTGTGTGGGAAGCTGCAAGATAGCTTTGTGAAATAACACTGATGAACGAGTGTAACCTTAGAGACCTATGGAAAAAAGGCAAAGGATGTTGTTTCCTTTGGTTAGGGGAAGGCGACCAGGCCCTCGTGAACACCCAATTCTGAACCTGTGCATCATTTGAGGTTGGAGTATCTTCATCCTTGTGATGCAATTCTTGTTAGTTGGAATTGTGATTTTTTTTTAAAAAAAACTTGTTCACACACCAACTAAGAAGCTTTCTAGAAGGGGTTCTTCTGCAACATTAAATCATATCCCCAAAGGAAAACTCACATACTCTTTAAATATTTTCCATCTTCCTAAAGAAATTTAGTTACACTGTTGACTTCCTAAACAGGAGAATGAGGGAGGAGACCTCTGCTTTTGTGGGGTGCAGTAGAAAAAGCAAAGTTCAGCAATAAACAGCAAACAAAAGTGAGGGACTTTTTTTTTTTTTTTCGGTTTGGTTGCTTAGTATGGGGAGGGGAGGTGATGTGGAGGTTACTGCTGTGCATGTTGCCTAAAAATCTATAAACCACACAATAGGAACAAGTTCTTTCTGTGTTCCATGACAAAGAGACAGTACTGCAGGGAAAACCTCACTCAGTTGCCTGTGTGATGGTGCAAATATCTCTTCCAGGCTATTCTACAAGCAACAGGTATTCCTTCAGAGAAGCTGGCAGTGGAAGGCCCTTCACAGCATCAGGCAGATACTGGAGTCCCAGGCTGTGGCGCACAGCATAGCGGGAGAGTGTCTTTAGAGTTCCTGGGGCTGAGCACAGCACAGTCAGTTTTTCACATAGTTGCTGGTCTTTGGCCACTTCTCGTGGCATGGTGCCATTTTTCCTTAACTCAAAGTGTCCAACAGCTCTGTGGAGGAGCTCAAAGCAGGAGTCCTCTTTCTTTGTTGCAAGTCCCCTGACAAGCAGAGCCACCAGGCGGGAGATTGGTGTCTGGCCTTTTAGATTGATGACTCTGACCTCGGCACCATAATCAAGAAGGATGCTGACACTCTCTAGATTTCCCTTCATGGCAGCCCAGCTGAGCGGTGTATCATTGTTGTAATCCAGGGCATTGACAGAGGCCCCACTCTCTAGGAGAGCCCGCACACACTCAGCATTATTCTTAAAGGCTGCCCAGTGAAGTGGGGTGTCTCTGTTGCCATCCAGTGAATTGGGGTTTGCACCATACTCCAAAAGGACCTCCACACAAGCCTCGTCTTTCTCTGCTGCATAGTGGAGGGCTGTTCGGTTGTAACCATCCAGGGCATTCACCTGTAAAAAGGGAGGAGCTATATTACAGTAGCCAGACTACCTTTGCCGTATAATGCTCTTTGCAAGAAGATCAACAAACACTTCCCAAGGAGTCTCGGTGGTGATCAAACGGAAATATGACAGAAGCTTAGGAGCAAGTAGGAAAGATGACTGATGCTATTATGTGCATTAACCAGCTGGCCTGCAGGAGGATTTTGCTGTAACAAAATCTCTACCATAGAGTGGGAAGTAAAGCAGGAAAAAGTGAAGTCTAAGTGTCTAAGGCTTTAGTACTGCTCTGCAGGAAATGCCATCAGAGAGGTGCTTGAGTTATTTTACTTATTCTGACCCTTTCAGTATCCTGGGCTAATGGAAACCGGAATGAAAAATGATGAGGTCAAAGCTCTGCCTATATAGCTTTGCCATGTTCTTTAAGCATTCAGAGAAGCTCAAAATGTGAAATTATGTCAGCCCTTTGCAAAGTATGCAGTGGGCTCACGAGAGAACCCAAATGAAAACATGTGGAAGGAAAAAGCACAAATCTTCCAAAGCTGTAAAAGCAGCTAACTTGCTGAAAGTGAGACTCACCATTAATTTTTTTATTTCAAATTCACAATCTTTCCCCATAAAATGTAATAAAGCAAAACTGAAACATTTAAGTGAGTTCAACTTTTTATTTAGCTAAGCTTTATTTCCCCCCTGCATATCTTCACTCTGATCGTTGGTGTTAATCACTTCAGAATATAATTGGTTTTCACATCAGGGTCCCTCAGAAAGAAACAGGTTTAATCACGAGAGTGATGGAACAGCTAATGACAAGTAGAGAACAGCATGGCTGTATGGAGATGAGGATAGTGGGACCTGCCTCTTGGGCTTAGTGTCCAGTGTGTTTGGGACTGCACACTGGCGTCAGAGTTTGTCTGGTTCAAATTAGCACCTCCACTATATATCTTCAAGACTGCTCACACATAGTCAAAAGTGCTAGTTTATAGTTTATTCATTTATCATGCACTTACTTAGCAGCTGGTGTTCAAACACTTTACAACCTTATGACATAAGATGCCATTATCATATCCTTTTCATAGATGGGGAAACTGAGAAAAAGATGGATTTAAGAATTTGTTCAAGGTCACCCAACAGGAAGTGACGGAGCTGGAAACTGAATCCATGAAATCTGGCTTGAGTATATTCTTTTAATTATTCATTATATTATGCTGCTTCATGCTAATGCCCAGAGTTTACTTTCAAATGTTAATTTTTGTCTTTTATCTTAAGATACATTAGAAGGAAGACAAGCATAAGATACACTAATACAAGACAACTAGTGAGCAAAAATAACATAAGGTGCTCAATCCTGAAGAAGGGATTGCCTTATCTTCCAGAATTGTACTTGAGTGATAGTAGGTCTCAAATGGTTTAGATTTAATCAGTTGCAGGGCCTCTGCACTTTTAGCACCTGGATAGTCGACAGGCAAGGAGAAGATTCGATGGAAATATAAACTACTCCTAGGAGGTAATGTGGAAGGGAAAGGGGGTAAAATTCCTTCTTGGAGCCATAGAGTACTTAAATTAAGAAAGAAAGGCAAAGGAATGAAATCCTTGGAATCATTTTGTGGATTTACTATTACATTACTTAATATGGGCTATACCAGTGTTATCCTGAATTAAAAGGTCAGACTGCCGGTGAGAAGAGAAATTCTAGGAAAATGTGAACCTCAAATTTATTAATAATGTAAAAGTATTGAAAACATTACCTCAGCTCCTTTTTCTAGGAGTAACTCCACACAGTCAGCATCTGACACCATACAGGCACAGTGCAGGGGCTTCAGTGTGCCGTGGGTGCAGTTCACATCTGCTCCCTGAGGGAAGAAGGAAGTTCAGTCAGTGTGCTCAGCTCTGGCTCACCTAGCAGGATGGGACTCAAAAAGAGTCTGGGGAAGAGGGTGCTAACCTTGACTATACTGTATAAGAACTACTGGTTCCTAGTTTCATTTCTAGTATGTAATATAATGGCAATGTCTAAACCAAGGTAATGAATGTACCAAAGAGAAAGGAGAGAAACTGTCAGTTCCTCAGAGCAAATTATGAAGTTTCTCTATAAGGTAGCTTTCCAAGATGGTCATCTGGACATCCTTGAGGATATAACTTTAAGCACAAATGCTGAGACATGAAAGCTGGACCAGCCATCCACTTTCTATGGCCACCATGCTCTGAAAGTCCGGAAAGTGAGTCTGTTAAACCAAGGCCAGAACTGGCATGCTTTTTTCCTATTTAACAAATAACCATAACTAATGGTTGGGCCATCTTAATATTATTTTCATTTCTTTATAAACACCTTAAAGGTGGCCTCTTAGACTCAGTATTCTCTGCCACTTACTCCAAATCTGGTGTTTCTATTCCTAATCTGATGGAGATGGAGATGACACTCAGACCAAAGTCACTGAATGACTCAGCAGCAGAGCTAGAATTAGAATGTGACAAAGTTCCTAGTGCTGAGTCTTCTGATCCCACTTTTGCCCAGAACAAGCTAACACTGTATGCTTCCATTCTGTATGTGCCACATAAATCTAAAGCAGCTACACAGCCCCAGACTATAAAGGAGGATCCTAAAGTTAAAAAGGCTGTGCAGACTAACCAGTTATCTGAATGTATTTTCTAGTGATCAAAGAATTACTCTGTAACTTCTCTTCAACAGGAATAACATACAGAATAGGTACCAACCACCTTCTAGGATACTAGTCATGTGACAGAATTACTAAACAATGGTTACATATCAGATAAAGTACCTTGTTAATCTATAATTATCATGCATTTTAGTTTAGTTCATCTACAGAACTAGAACTGGTAGCTGTTGTTAGGATAGAAGGAAAGTGAACTCTATGTAATCATTATAACTCAGGTTTGGAGAAAGGCTCACAAGGAATTTGAAAAACACTATTGCTTTGTTCACTTCTACCACCTCCAGTAAAACATGTATAGAAGACTGTGATCTTGACAGCTTCCATATATACCATATCCAGGCAGAGATTTTATAAAGAACATGAGACTAGGGTTATCTAGAACATATTTCATGATGAAAAATACCAGATAACACAAAGTGAAAGAGAGAAGGCAAATAAAGCAAAACAAGGGAAAATACATTTTAATGATCGAGTTAATACATTTAAGAAGGCGGTAAGAACTTCTTGTGCTAAATCAAAGCTGCAACTCTATAATCTGCTTGGATTTACCAGAAATTTCCCCACTCCCCTCCAAAGGACTGTGGCATCAGAAACAGCACACTCACCCCTCTGATGAGGTCCTCTACATTATCATGTGGGAAGGAACGGATGGCAGCAATTGTTCGGATTAAGCGCTCTGAGAGAGAGTATTTGCTCTGAATGCTCTGCATAATATACCACATACTGGAACTCATCAAGGCTCAGAGTGTATTCACATGCTCCAAACTGCCTGAAACAAAGAAGTTTTAGGCATATACACTGCCACTGAGCACACCTGTCCTTAGGTTAAGCGATCTCTGAGGGCTCCCCAATACTAAGTACAGATGCCAAGGAGATTGGTGATTAATTAATAAATACCATCTTTCATAATCATAAAGAATTAGATTATAATAGTTGCTAGGGTGCTGACTAAACCAGGATGCAAATACTTTGACCCTCAGGACCTGTGTTCTACTCTCTGGTCTAGTCTAGCAAAGATTTCCCTAGAAGTATGATACTAAGACTCCCATGAAGCTTACAAACAATACTAGTAAAGGAATGAGATTTTTTTTTTTTTGAAGGCTGAAGGTACCAGACTTTTCTTCCACTGAACTTTTGTCATTTATTATCAGCCTCACCTTTAGGTTATTTACTACATTTGTCTTGCCATGTACATGTTAGATATATATTGTTTATTCATTTAAATTGTAATCAACTGGAAGGCAACTGTCCTCTACTTTTTTTACCCATGTTAGGTCACCCACAGAATCTCAGAAAAGGCAGATATTTAACAAATAACAGTTGACTGATTGAATAAAGGATATGGAAGTGATTGTTACCTGTGAGAAGAGGGAAAAGGCTATGGGGCAGATACACTTATTTTAATAATGATAAGGCATTTGTGAAATATTTTCAAATGTCTTCAGCAGAGGAAATAAATGAAATATTTGAAATAACCTAAAATAAGCAAGAAAAAGTATAGCTACTTTAGAGTTGTCTATAAAATTAGAAAAACAAAGTTCACACCAATAAAATATGCTTTCAGTGTTAGGAAAACAAGCAGATTTAAAATGAATTAACAATTTTAATAATTGGCTATTCATGACAATCAAGAAACATTTGATGGGCTGGAGGGATAGCTCAAGTGGTAGAGCACCTGCCTAGCAAGCATGAAGCTCTGAGTTCAAACCCAGTACCATGGGAAAAAAGAAAAGAAAACAATATGGCAGAGTTCTAGGACAAAGAAAGAAAACAATGCAATATACTTAAATTTAGCTATAATAAAAGTTTTGATTATATGAGGTGCTTGTTAGAGAACACTTAAAATTACAGTCAATAAGGTGTGTGTTTTAATGAAAAAGTACCTATTAAAAACTGTACAGAAAATATAACATGTAGTACCAATTCTTTAGGTGTCTTAGGTATCTGCACTTTTATTAAAGTATAAGAGCCTTAGGAATAAAGATAGTGGGTTTTTTTTCAATAGTGCCTGGCAATTGTATATCCTTAATAAATATTTTTTGAGCCAATGTAAAAATTATTACTTTGCATGCTAATAAATTTGAGACTTGCAGTAAGTAAGCATGTTATGCATATGATGGCTATTAAGGGAAAATACAGAAATCAATTTGGTTATTTCATAATATAAAAAATGCTTTTTGTGATTTATAGTATATTATAAACTCTTCTAGTTTCTTTCTTTCTTTTTCAGTACTGGGACTTGAACTCAGGGCCTACACCTTGAGTCACTCCACCAGCTCTTTTTTCTGATGGATTTTTTCGAGATAGGGTCTTGCAAAACCCGGGCTTTGAACCCGAGATCCTCGTGATCTCTGCCTCCTGAGTAGCTAAGATTACAGGTGTCTAGTTTCTTTTTGCTAATCATTAACTATTTGTATCTCTTTAAAATGTATTTGGTGTTGTGGGTGTAGAGCAACAGTAGGACACATGCTTAGCATCTGCAAAGCCCCAGAACCGCTCCCAAAATAGGTATGCACCCCCCCACCACACACCCTCCTCAGAGACATGCTCTGTAATACTTCTTTGCAGCAAAGGGGTGGGGGTTGAGGGTGGAGAGTAGAGGTGGATTTGAGTCCGGATTCCAAGAATCGGGGCAGAGGACAGCATCTAAAGCCGGAGGTTTAGACTGAAAAGAGTTCTGCTAACAGCTTCTGACAATATGATAGAACTAACTCTGCACTCATTTTCTGGTGCTCTTGGACTCCATGTTAAGAGTATGACCAGTGGTCCTCTCCTGCTATCTCGAAGCTACAGGTAAAACAATGAAACTTAGGAATAGATCGACACTCACTAAATGTTGAATGATGCCATGGTTCTTTTGTTTGCCAGAAACACTCAAGAAAAATCTAAACCCGTTCTTTCTCCGAACACCTGCTCATGCACTGTTTGACCCCTACAGGGTTCCTTCCTCCCCCACTCTGGATTTCTATTGCTACGGGATCTAGGGAAAACATCAAAGGGTTCGTTTTTATTTTTATTTTTTATCACTAAGCTAAAAGCAAAGTGGAAGAGAGAGACACTCAACAGTCTCAACAACTCTGGTGCTTGGGAAGCCTGGGCCTCGGCCGCTCGGGGACAGCTTCGGCAGAGTCCCACCGCACCTGCTGCGGGAGGGCTCGCGGCGGCCTGTCTCGCCCAGCTAGGGATGGAGGGCAAGGGCACGAAATGCAAGGACGTGTGCTGTCACTTTCCGCATAGGCTCCCAACACATTGCAGTAATCTCTGCAATTGTCCCGGTACCAACACGGAAAGGAGGGTGGAGAGGGTCTTGCATTCGGCGGCTGGGGAGCCCCAGACTCAGACCACACTGCGCTCCGACCCCCCCCAGCCCCCAAGGCCTGGAATGATGTCTCAGCCTCGAGCGGGCAGTGGAAGCAGCGTTACTGCGCGCGGTGCCCGGGTTAGGAAATCTGGCTGCAGACCTTTCCGCAAGGATCTCACTCACCGAACCGCAGGGCTAAGCTGGGTCAGGAAAGCCGCTGTCAAGGCGTGACCCGGAAGTAGAAGCTGAGGGCCGCTGGGTTTACAGCACCGGAAGACCTAGTAGGACGGGCGCCTGCGCGTCGAGCAGCGCCGGAAAGCCGAGCGCGCCTGCGCAGACTCCTGAAGCCGCGGTGGCCTGCTGGCTTGGCTAGTGTCTTACCTTCTCCCTGTGCCGACCTGAGGTTTTGAGCATGGGCGCAGTTGGCGTTCTCCGCTACAGCCCTGGGTCTCGGATCCTGGTCCTGTGATGGGAAAAAAGCTTACGAACCCGGGCGGTCAGGCCGAGTCAGTGTGTCTGTGCCTGCATGGACCAGTCTACCGGGGATCCATCCCACCGCTCCTTCGCTGTCTCTCACCTAATGCATTTGAAATTAGGCGTGGGCACCTCATTCTCACATTATTCCCAAACTCACCGAACCAAACGTTGCTTTTCGCTATTAAATCCATAGTGGTTCAGTTCCCTCAGAAGTGTCTTTGGCAAACAAAAGAACCATCCTCCTTAGAAGCTTGGTGAGTATTGTCCACCCTCTTTCCCTTCCTCCGTTCCTTTACCTGCAACCTATTTTAACCAAGAGTGCCCCAACTTCTACTCTTCAAAGCTTGCTCCAAGAAACAAAATCTAACCAGTAGAGATTAAAGATGGGCACACTATTCTATGTATATATCAGTGAGGGGATGTTGAACAGAAAACTCACTACCTGTCTGAGGAATGAGCCTCGTCTTAGTTTCAAACCGAAAGGAAGTTTTGCCAGACAGAAATGTGTCCTCCACCTCCTGCCACCACACCATAGTAGATTGTCTGACTTTTCAAAATACGAAATCTAGGGTTTTTTTTTTGTTGTTGTTGTTAAAGCAATTCTCCTAAATTGAAAATGTTGGCATTTTAAACAGTACCCTTTTTAAAGAGGCAACATTCGGCCTGCAAGCCACCTCCTTCCAGACCAGATTAAAGGCTGTTTTGGCCATTGGTAGTTTTGTAGATGAAGGGTTGAACGCAGCTCTCTGACTGATAGGAGTGTGGAGGGTTGATTCAAAGCTGTAGGTATAACTATATTGTTTTTTATTTAATTCATAGATTTACTTGGGAAAGCTTGAAGAAACCGGAATGAACTAGAGCTCCTCACTTCCATTCCTCAAGTCAGTCTAAGGCATTATTCAAATTCAATGAATGGTAACAGTTTGATTCTGTGCCCACTGCTTCTAAACTAGGTATCTCCATACACTAAGATTAGAGATATACCTGTGCTAGTGCTGATTCAAAATGGTGGTGGTGGGGGGGAATGTATTCTGAGAACTGTCCTTCTTGGCCAACAACGGGGAAAAGTCTCAGAAAAAATCAAGTTGCCTATATGTCTTGTCCAGACCTAACCTGTCAGCCAGCACCTCTCAAACTCCCATCCCTGTGTCTAGAACTGTGTGACTCACATGAATAGCCCAATGGAACAATCTCCCCTGAACCCTCTTGCATCCTACTTGGCTGGGAGGGATGTAATGATTTCCATTCTGTGATGCCCTGGGCCCATGCATGCCTGCTAAGTCACCTTCTCATTAGGTCTAGTAAGGTGATGTTCTGCTTGGCACCACCTATGGTTCTTTCAAAGTGGAGTACAAGCATCATATAACTGACCTATAGAGAGGTTAGTGACTGCCAACAAAAGGAGGTTCCCACCTGTGCATAGCAGAAATAGAGTCAAAGGATCCAGAAAAAGTACTGCACCTGAAGAGTAGCATCTACTCCTCCTCTGAGCACCTACTTTGTTCTAGGTTCTGTGCTCAGCTATGTAGCAAACAGAGATGGAGAAACCAGTTCTTTAAAATCAAGGGCCGCAGACCAACATGAACATTATCAATTACAATTAAAAATGAGTTCTATAACAAGGTTTTTATGTACAAAGTCAACATCGAAGAACAATTCTACTTCATAATAAGATCAAGAGAGTGTGAGGAGGGAGGGTTGTGAAGCGGTTTCTTGGGAAGAAACTTGTTTGTGCTATTGAATTCCTACTGTCCTTCTATCCAGCTACTTCCTTCTCCTCAAGCTTAAAGAGGGACTTGCAATCAGAGAGTTTCTTAGAAATTATTCCCCATAGTTGCAAAGTAGAGAACTACACTGATTCTTTCCTGTAAGTTAAAAAGGGTTGTACCCCTTGAGATGGGATTGTCTTGTACTCCCAGATCATCAGGGTCAATGAATGGGTCAGTGTTTCCCTGGACCAAATGTGGGCTATACAGAAGGCAGACAAACAACACAGAGTTGCCTTTGGCCTATTCTAAAGGGCTGTCTAGAGCTATGGAGAGGTCCAGTGGCCTGAAGCTACAGAAAAGCATAAGAGTCCTAGGATCCACAGTTTGTCTCAGGCCATCACCTGGATCTTTCTATGCCAAAGGTACTCACATAAGAGGTCTTTGATAATGGCAAATGCCAAAGAAACTTTAAAGGCCTCTTTCAGGAAAAAAAAAAGGGTCAATTTTACTCATTTGCCAGATACAGAGCTATTCTTCCAAGAACTGCTCTGTTCCCTCAGCTGTCAGGCTTCATCCCACTTTTACACAGCAGATCAAATAGCAGCTAACTAGTAGGGGAAGAGGTAAATTGAGGAGAAAGCTAAAGGCAGGCAGCCACTAGCCACCACTCTACATGGGGGAGGGGAGAGCCGTCTTAGACTGACTAATTCCCGAGAATGAAGACTAAAGTATTCAATTACCACTTTGGACTGGAAACATTCTAACTACTAAATCTAGACTGCATTTTTTATTTGGCGTGACTATTACTTAAAAGATCGTCAATTATCAAAGAGTGAACAAAAGTCAGGGATCTTTACAATTTTCCATTCGGGGGCAAGAGAAGATTACAATTTTTAAAAATATGGCAAAAGTCAACAAATAAAGCTGTATTTTGATCACTTCTCATGAATCCTGCATTACATGTTTGGATTCTAACTCTATATTTTTAGTTGGTTATTTTGATTACAAGTGATTTCATGAGGTTTTATTTCTTCTTTTTCTTTTTTTCTGTATGCTGTGTCTCCCATAAGACTTTTAGGGTATTAGTTTTTCTTCTCTTTTCTGCTAATTCCAGTTCTGCACTCAAGAAGTATTTGTTAGGTGGTGTTGATTGGCAGTACAACTAGTGTGCCTATTTTCAGTGCTTGTCATAAACTTGAGCTGGAAATTTGATAATGATGTTATAGTTGTAATGAGTAGTGCTATCACTGCTTAAGATGTATTAGTACCCAGACTCTGTAGGTAGATATCTATAGGTAGAGGTGTCCCATGATCTTTGAGCCTTATGTGTGACTCCTTTTTGGAGTAAAAACCTTTTTTCTGCTGGCTGCAAATCCTTTCCTGATTTTGGATGGATCCTTACAGTGACAGTGTGCTAGAGGAGAGGAATTCTGCCCTATAACCTTCTAAGTAGTAACATGAAGCCTTTCACAACAGTTTTTTGGATTCTGGTCAAGCTCATCAAATACTCTCCTGTCTTAAACTCCTTCTTCAGGGGCCACCTGGCTAATGTCGATGGTGGAGTTTCTCTGATGTCCTTCCTACCAAAAGGTGACCTAGGTAAGAAGGAGAAACTTTTAAAAAATAAGTGCTCCCTTCACCAAATGAAAAAGAACCAAAAGGAAGACTCTTAAGAATAAAGGAGAAAGGGGATCAAAACTACAGGGTAGAGTGAAAAAAAATAGGTTCGAAGTGTCAGACTCATTGGCTAGTTGAGAAAACAGCTTTCCCTCATTAATAGAATGAACTATTTTCCTTTATTTCAAATTTCTTCAATTTGGGGGGTTATCACTTATAGCACATTCTTTATATTTAGAAATAATATAATATGCAAACACCATCAGGACCCAAGTTCCAGTTCTGATAGTAGTACTAGTTTCTTTACCTGTCTAAGCCTGTTATGTTACCTAAGTCTCAGTTTACTTATCTGTACAATGAGCTGAGAGAACAATAACTATCTCATGGATTAGTTTTAAAAACCTATACCACATGTGTGAAAAGTGGTTTTGTAAGCTACTTAAGCATTGACTATCTATATCATTTTTGTGTTATTTTATATTTGTTTGAAGAGATTACCAAATGCCATTTCTTCCTAGTTACAAGGTAAGCACTGATAGGACAGAGACTTAGATGTCTTGAGCTCATCTCCTCCGCCATAGTACAATTTCAAACACAGAGTAAGTATTTGTTAAATGCAAATGTAATTGAACTGTAGTAAATTGATCTCTCAAAGACAGGAAGTATGGAATACCTCTATGTCTTAGTCCCTTGAGCCTGTTGCTTTCTCAGATTCAGGGATCAGCTCAGAGAAAAACTGAAAAGAAAGCTTTGGAATGAAAAATGAAGAAAAAGGAAATATAATGTAAGCCTCATAAAACTTTTCATATGCTTAAGTCTGCACTTCAGAAAGTTTTTCTGCAAAGAACAAAACAGTATTAATGTGCAGCATGGACATCCTCCCAAAACATACCGTTGGTGTTAAACAAGGGCTTCTTTTAGAAGCTGCTCAGAGACAGATGTGCTCTACATACTCAAACACTACTCTTTTTCTCTTCCTTTTTAACTTTCTCTACAGCTTGGGAGTAACTTGTGAATTAGGTTTTATAAAAAAATTTCTCTTTTCATCAATATTTTATTTTGGTCCTACAGAATCCCAATTTTTTTTACTAACAAAATAATTAAAAAATACTCAGATCTCATAGAGAAAAACTTCCTAAGAGATTTTGGAAAAAATATAGTAACAGAACAAATAGAAATGTTAATGCTGATATTAAAATAATATATACATGATTCTATTTTTCCAAGAATGTAGGCATTGACAGCTTAATTACCTAGCAAAGACTGAAGTAGATACACCTCATCTGGACAGTTTTTAAAATTGTCCAAAACAGAGAATTAACAGAGGAAATGCCCACTTTCCTGACAATATTGGATGGT